TGCACTCCAGTCTGGGCGACAGAGTGAGACTCCAACTCAAAAAAAAAAAAATTAAATTAATAAATAAATAAAAACAACAGTTGCAGTAGAATATGGACATCCACAAAGGTCTATAGGTAGCAGCCCAGGAGGGCAGAGCTGGGGTGGCCACCATCTGGTGGTCATCCCTAGTACTGCAATGCTTCTAACTCAGTTCTCATGTGGAGCTGAGGTTGAGGAGCAGGGAGGGGGCCTTGCAGCAGGGAACACTGAGGAGCAGGAGTGGGAGGTGAAGGTGACATTACTGAGGACCTCCTGCAAGCTGGTACTTTATGTGCACACATCTTATTGGATCATCACCACAACAGGATTATCCCCATTTTACAGATGAGGTTAACACTGAGGCTCAGAAGAGACACCACTTGGCCCAGCACAGCGTGTAAAGGGTGGAACTGGGATTGGAATGCAGGTCTCTTTGACTCCAGAGATTCCAGTCCCTGTACCCTACTGACCCCCAAAGGAGGAGTCGTGCAGTAGGTCCCCTGAAGAAGGGTCGTGGGTGCCATGGGAACACCTGGAGCTCAGATGTTGAACATCTCCAGAGCCTATGGGCCCATGAAGAGACATTTTTAGAAGCAAATGGTGGGACAAGGACAACTGAGCCATGGGCACAGGCCCAGCCCTGCAGGTTGGTTGTGGGCCCCTGCCAAGCCTGTGTATACTGGTTAGCTGTGTCCTGAGGACTTGGGTGGCCCTGGCTAACCAAAACAGAGGGAGAGAGGGTTGTTGCCCTCACCCCCAGCCTGCCTGGCCTCTCCAAGTTTTGCACAGTTTGTGAAAGACAAGATAAGGGCCTGGGCGGACAGGCGCTCGGGGCCTGGATGAGATGAGGGGGAGCAGCAAGACTCTCAAGGCTCCGTATCAGGGCCTCAGGAAACTGGGGGGGGCATTTAGGTATCCAGGGCCAGGATAAGCCCCTGAAACTCCTTTTTACTGACAGGACTTAGTGCATAATGTGCTTAGTTCAGAATGCATTTGGTGCTGAATGCACTGGAAGCCCAGTCAACTAGACCCTCCAGAGAGCCTGAGGAACCTGTCATTTCTCCCTCATCCCCTGGCCAGGGAGGACAAGAAGCCAAGACAGCGTCTGAGGCCTTGGCCTGACTTGAGGCTAGCATCATCTGGTCTGTCAGCCAGAAAGGCTGGGCGGGGCCTCATGGCATAGGTGGCAGAACAGATCGGCATGGCCTGCAGATAGCCAAGACTGCCAATAGCTGGGCCTGCAGCAGCCTCAGGAAAACCAGCAAAGGCCCTTCCCAGCCCCACTGGCAAAGGGGATGCCCGAGGCCACTGGCCTCCACAATCTATACAATCACAACACGGGACCAGGAGGAGTGTGCTGACCACTCCTCACGTCTCCCACCTCTCAGGCCAAGGCTATGGCTGCTGAACCTGATGGAGGTATGCACAGGGGTGGGCAGGGTTGAAGGTGCCACACCAAGCTCCCCAGACCAGGAAGTTCTGGAGTGCCGATCAGGGCTGATCCCACTTCCACTGCTCTCCACTCAGTGCACTGGGAGTCATCTCCCCAGGCCTCAGTGTCCTCATCTGTTGAATGGGAATCATGGCAGGGCCTCACAAGGCTTTTATGAGAATGAAAGAAGAGATGTATTCATGATGTTAGTACGTTGCCAGGCAGATAAGCGCTCAGAAGCTAGCATTCCTAGCAGGTCACAGGCAGGGGCATCTGGCTGGGTGGGGGCCTTTGTCACTTGTTTCGTGTGACCACAGATACTAAAGAGGCATGGGCCTCTGTTGGGAGCAGCCCAGGTTGGCGGTGGGGCCAGGGCCCAATACTTGAGGCAATTGTCCGGCACACTTAGTGTCATACTCGATCATGAATGTTGCTAACACAGCCCTATGTGTGTGTGTATTTTTTATTTTTTGAATTGGAGTCTCACTCTGTCGCCCAGACTGGAGTGCAGTGGCCACTCCCGGCCACCGCAGCCTCGACCTGCTGGGCTCTGGTGATCCTTCCGCCTTAGCCCTCCAAGTAGCCAGAATTACAGGCGTGCGCTACCACACCCGGCTAATTTTTTGATTTATTGTAGAGATGAGGTCTCACCAAGTTGCCTAGGCGGGTCTCAAGCCCACGGGCTCAGGCAATTCACTCACCTCGGCCTTCCAAAGTGCGGGATTACAGGCTGAGTCACCGAGCCTGGCCTGTTGCTTTTTAAATTGGCTTCATTGAAATGTAATTCTCATGCCTACAACTCACCTGTGTCATGTGCAAGTCATGGTTTTTAGTATAGTCACCAAGTAGTGTGGTCACTTCACAGTCAGTTCCATAACATATCCAGCATCCCCAGAAGGAAACTCGTGCCCTTCCTCAACCACCCCAAGGCAGAGATTGAACAAGCCCCTCTAACTGCAGAGCTGGGATCAAAGCTGGTCCCCCTTCTCCCGCCCAAGATCCCTCCCCAGATGGGTATGTATAGGGCAGAATTCAGTCCTGACATGAAGAAAGAAACACTTCAAACAGCCTGTCCTGCTTCCCAGCCTCCATGGTGACTTGCCTGCAGGGCCTGGGGCTCCACGTGTCCTCTCTGTTCCCCTTGAAGGTGGGGACATAAATGGAGGGTGAGAGACACTGGGACACTGGACAAGTGCTCTGGGTGGGATTCCAGAAATCACCAACCCTGAGGATCTGGGTTTTATGGGCATGTGGATTTGAAGTGTGAAACAGAGACACAGGAAGTAGTAAAAGGAAAACATAGGTGTAGCTCAGTGAAGACCCCAAAGTCAGGTCCCCTGCCCACTGTTCACTATTTACTCCAGAGAAAGGGGCCACCCAGGCATGACCCTAAGGGCAAGAGGAAGAAAGTTTTTCTTTAAGTTGGCCCAGGGTTGCTGGAGACCAGGTTGGATACCCGGGCTCTGTCTTCATGCTGGTTTTGGTTCTCGGGAAGAATGAGCCCTTTGAGTCTTGTCCAACTGATGAGACAGAAAAGGGGTCAAGGGTTCTGCCGCTGCCCCAAAGCCTGGGCCTAAGGTGGGAGGCAGGAACAGGCAGGATGGTGTTGGAAGCAGGGAGGAGCCTAAAAGCTACTGAGGCCCCTGTCCGTGTCAGCTCAGGCTGCCATGACAAAGTACCATAGACTGGGTGGCTCAGACATTTTTGTCTTGCAATCCGGAGGCTGGGAAGTCCAAAGTCAAGGCACTTTCAATTCAGTTTCCCGTGAGACCCTCTTCCCGGCTTGTAGGTGGCTGCCTCCCTTGCATGTGTACTGGCACCTCTTCTTATAGGGCACTAATCCCATCAGACCAGGGCCCACCTTTAGAACCTCATGGAACCTCAGTTACCTCCTTATGGATCCTGCCTCCAAAAACAGTCACATGTGGGGGCTAGGGCTTCAACATACAAATTTGGGGGAAACACAGTTCAGTCCACAACAGCTCTCAAATCTGCCAAGTTCATAGTTCACCCATCCTCTCCCTGGAGCACACTGCTTTAGAACTTAAAATTTAAGAGAAAACAGAAACCATCTGGGATTTAAGTAGAAAGGGG